GGAATCTATTTGGATGCACATCCTTGCAGGTATCCATTGCAAGGAATCAGCGTAACATGGTTTCAGGTGGGCTGCTCATCACATTTAACCTGCAGACGGAATCCATGTGGATGTGATTTTACACAACTAGACGTCCATTTAGTGTTTAATCTCCCATTCTGCTGGATTTTGGCCTTTTGAAGTTTAGGACTTTGTTCCATTTTGACTGTGGGTCTCAAGTAGACTTGAGGTTAAACTGTCATTGTTTTCAGCTGCTTTTCCACCTCGTGGTACGGCTACTCTACTCTCCTTTTTGGTTTTCCATTATGTGTAGTACCTGCTGCTTTTTTTGGTACCACCGCGGTCGAGGCTCCAAGTGAGCTGAGTTGATGCTAAAAGGTGACCTGAAAACACTGCAGACCACTGATTGGTAGTGCGACATACTGCACAAAACCCACATTTTTAAACAGCCAAGCATCCATCTAATAGTGACCCCAATTTTATTTTATTTATTCTAAAATGGCAGCCTGCTAAAACCAGAGCTGACATATCAAAAATACACCATCTCTTCATATACCATGTTATAAGAGTAGCAGCTGCTTTTTGTGTGTAGTTAGTGTGTGGTGAGTGAAAGAGAGAGAGTAGTAAATGTGAGCAGTGCAGAGGAAAAGTGATCAATCTGGCAGTAAATGTACATTGAAGGTTTGTCAGTCAGTTTCCCAAATGTGTCCCCCTTTGGCGATCAGCTCCGCCTACGGTGAGGAGGTACTATCCAAAGTACTATCTTCAGTGGAAAACAAAGTAAAGGTACCAGAAGCAAGTTGAGGAAAGTCAAATCGTACCATGGAGTGAGAAATACAGCTTTGGTGTGTCCTGTACCAGGCTTCAGTCTGGACTCCCACAGGCTTGGTTGTGGTCTGTCTGACTGACTGACTGAGGTGCTGAAACTTGTCTGAAGACGGATAAATGTTTGGCCGTAATCAGTAGTTTTGTTTGCAACACAAGACTTCTGGATGAGATTGTGCTCAATGCGTTCCTCCGTCCTGAAGTCAGAATTAAACATTGCTTATACGATCTAGATTTAAAGTGCAGAGTCACATGACTAAGACTGCAAACGCAACAAAGTAACTTAATGTACTGTATTGTATTGTAATATGAAAAGTGGCTTGCACTTAGTTTAACTGTATTTGTGTTCCTGTTGAGAATATATTAGCTGATGTGTTATCAATCACTGCACAGCCATATTTATTCTATTGAATATGATGTTATTCACCGTAAGGCCGTCCACTTTTAATGAGTCTGGTCACAATGCACCGCTTCGTTGGACTTTCTTTGGAAATGCGTTGCATTTCGAGCCTTGCGTGTGTTGGATTTATCCAACTTTTGTTTTATAGATGCTTTCTTAAACCCAAAGTCTATGCTATCTTGCTAGTGTCAAACTCTTAGCTCGTGTTGACTGAAGTGGTGTCTGTGAAGAGATTTCAATATCCTCACATCCACAGAAACGTGCAGCACTCCAGAGGTCAAAGACACCTGATTCTAATGAAAGCTTCATAGCAGGTTTATCGGCACGAGGTGATTCTTTTGCTCTTTGCTGTTTTGACCTCTGGAGTGCTGCCCTGTATCTTGACTTCAGATGTGTAAAATACAGACATTGCTGATAGACAGGATCAGTTCACCTGTTTCCTCTTATGAATTCAGAGAAATTCCTCAAACCACTGCAGTATTATCCACTTCTCCACTATCCAGCGGTACTTACGGTCACTGAAATCTGGCTTAATTGTGGGTGAAGCTCAATATAACATGGAAGATGTGTTTCACTTATATTTTGACAAAACAATGTCAGTTTGGCACATACTGAGCATGCAGATGAACTGAACAACCTAACACACACATTTGTTTGGTAGCTGCAATGCAACCAAGCAGGAAACATCTTCTGGCACCCTAAGAGCACCTTTATGCTATTAAATCTCTATATTTAGGACAAAGTTAAGTTACGACTGTATTTCGTTGTTTCCACATGGAGGCGACCATTGCATGCTGCTCTGCACGTTATTTCAAGCTTAAATTAGTGTGGTCAAACCATAAAGAAGATGTAAAAGACAAAAATTGGTAGTCCATGGAAGAAATGGAATGACACCAAATACACATTGTCAGACCCACAGACTCCCACTGGAGGCAAACAACTTCTCATTGTTCAGTCTCGGTCACTCCAGACTGGTGAATAAAATCACAAATACTGCAAGATTTTCTTGGCAAAACTTAAAAGCAAGGCTTTGTTTGATGATCTCTTTCTTAATGTGTGACCCAGTCATCACCACTTGCTTTGCTGTCTTGATGCAAGCGTGCGCTGTAGATATCAATTATTTTTTTACAGTTTGGGATGTTTGAGATCAGTGTCCATGAAATGGAATTATAAAGTAGAATTCTCCATATCAACGCTGTGTTTTAGATTTGGCTCCCTCAGTGGTGTGATGTAGAACTCATGGTTTGATACTGGAAGGGAGGCTTGCCCTGACTGGAAGCTGTGGTCCTGTTTAGCACCTGCATGCCATGTGGCTTGTACATTGAGACATTGGTTGTCACGCATGTGCTTTTAAAGGTCCATAAGCTGCTTTTATCTACAGTAGCCCATAATGGACATACCAAACACTGGCTCTAGATTGGGCCTCCACACTTCACAGCCCGTTCTCATTCTCAGGTCATCAAATACAGACAACAGTGTTCAGTTAGTTTCAGTCTGCAGTTTCACCTCTAGATGCCACTAAATACACACTGGTCCTTTAAATGTGACAAAAAAGTAATGTAAAGAGATTCACACTAACATTTTTTAGACACAGTAAAACCTTTGATCTTTTAAAGATTAGAGGAAATCACACTGAACTGAAATGATCCACAGGTCTGATATTCGTGCACAAAAAGTATACAAACGCTCAATTCTGTCTTTGAATAATGTGCTGCAGTACTTACTGTCGAGGAAAAGGTAAAATGAAATGAATGAAAGTATTATAATATGGGTATTGTAGTCCAGATGCCATTCTTTGAAACGGTTCAATCTCTGTAGCATTTCACATCTTGTGCTGTACTGACCGGCTATCTTTATTTATTTTATAGACACGTTCCCAATTTTTGGTTTCTTTTTTTTTTTACTGTAACTTGTCTGATTGTAAATGCAACTGTCATCTGGTATTAAAACATTGGAGAAAAAAAGTTTGGTTGTTGGTGGCACTGTCTGCGGTGATTCTCCATCATCAAATTTGACCTTTTTTATAGTGTACAAACACTGAGGTGCAGCTGACTAAACACAGCCTATGAACCACAAGGCTGTCAACTACTTTCCTGCATTGGCTCTTGTGGGGATATTTAGAACAAACAACAAAATTAGAAACTGCTCTAAATAGCACTTGATGGGAAAAAAGCTTTTCGGTTGTCCTTTTTAACTCTTAAAGCGAAGCTGGACCCACCAAACTTCTGTCTACATTAGCAGTTAGCTGTGTCAATTTGTAGTCGATGTGGATCAAGTCAAAACATGTATTTAATGTTTTATACAAAAGTGAGAGCACACATTACATGGACCATGAAATCAGTACAGCAAGTAAAGATGTTACACAGACAAAACAGAAACTAGTAAACTCCACCTAAAAAGCAACACAACAGGAAAAGAACACAAGTTAAACATAAAGGTATCAAATGGAATGATTGGCACTGTTAAAATACCAGTGTATCTGTTCATCATACAAACAAGACAAAACCAGTGCAGGTTAATGGATGAAGGGTTCACATCAACAAGAAGACATACAAAGTGACAAATTAAAAAAATTAGAGAATTTAAACAGAAATAAGATGAGCGCTCTGTTTTAGTGGAGGTAAGGCTACTGGGTTGGGTGAGTGCATTTCAAATAGTCCAAATGTTTTAATATTTTTAGTATTTTTATGGGCTTTTATTGCCTTTATGAATAGGGACAGCTGAAGATGGACAGGCGAAAGGGGGGCAGAGAAGGGGATGACCCCCCCCCAACGCAGCTAAAGGCCGGCAGGTCAGATCTCGCAAAACCCTGGGCCGCTGGCAGCAAGGGACTCAGGCCTCGGGGTACATGGGTCGCCAGCTCTACCACCTGAGCCATAAACCGGGCGCCCAACATTTTCCTTTTTTGACTAAAGATTTGTTATTTTGTGAAAACTCAAACTTAAAACAAAATTATAGTCGAGGGCCCGTAAATATAAAACCTGTAAGGAATGATTTGAGGACTTTTGAGTAAAAACATTGTTACACAGAACTTTATATAGAAAAGTTAAGAGTAACTTTTAGTACATTTATTACACATAAAGTGGGATTCTTCAGTGCTGACTGAAGGGTTCAAAATGTAAAATAACTAGTCTACATAATGCATCACTGAATCAAACAGACCTTTTTAACAGCAGCCATTTTGATTAAATCACTGTGTATTTTGAGTCATTTTAATGCACTAGAATGCCAGTCTTGGGAGATCTGTGAAGTCATTTAGTTACAACAGTTGTATGCAAGACAATTTTAAGAAACTGTGAAAAAAGTGTAATGTGTTAATTTCCCATTTAACACAAAGATGGAAAATCAAGAGTTATAAATGTAGTTTGCAGCATGTAATAGGACAGTAACATTTGTAACAGTAAAAAACTACACGACTTGAGCGTGATAGTAGTTTAACACAATAGTCCAGAGGTCCACTTACTAGCTTTTTCTTGAGCTTTTCAACTGCATCTCTGAATTTCATCAATGTATAGAGTACTGACCTTTTTCACAGCAGCCATTTTGCAATGAAATAGTAGGATAAACAGGTGTTATCAATGACACTAATTAAGGCTCTGTTCCGTTTTGTGTAGCAGAGCCTGCAAAACATCAGCACGCTGACTCTGTTTAACCTGAATGGAATGGAACCCAAATTAGTGTCGTTGGTAAAACCTGTGTTTACGATCAGTGTGCTTTGTGGCTAACAGATTTACATTTTTAAATGATTAAATCAAAACCGGGAAACAAGCTGATGTATGTGAATGACTTTCATCTTCAACCACTTTTATTATCACATGACAAATGTGCTAACTCTAACAAAGAAAGAGATGCAACTTAAAGCCCCAGAAAAAGGTAGTAAGTGGACTACAGGAATGTAACAAAATCCCCATAAGAACAGCAGCTGCACTCCACAGGAATACTGGGTAATGCAGTCTCAATAAAAACAGAGAAACAATAAAAGGCATGAAATGTAAAACTAAACACAAACAGCTGAAAATAATCTACAACATTAAACATTAGAGGTGTAAACATAAACCATTAATTATTAAAAAACAATTTATTATATATTTATTAAACCTTTACACACAGTATAGGCCATAAATAGCAAAAATCTGGGATGTGACCCAAAAACACATACAGGTCTGTCTCTACTCTGTCACACACAACGATAATAGAGTTTTAAATAAATGAGCTCAGGTTCCTAAACACCACGTCAGTTACACTGTTTGGTTACAAGGCCAGAAAAACAGATAAATGTCTTTCTAGACCCAAACAAGAAGGAATTTTTATGAATATTATTCAAAGTGATGAAAAGATGCACTGTTACTGGTTTTCTACGATAAACTTACAGCCAATACTCTCAGGATGCTTTAGACAAACAAGGAACAGGACTAAATGTCTATATTTTCACTAAAGTTCCTGTGACACACACAAAAACCCTAAATTGTTGGATGGATGAAAACTTTGATATTTTTAGATCCTTATCACTGGTAAGTAAATAAATGTGTTAGAATGAGACTGGTGCCACAGGGAAGGTCATGTGATGTAAAGACTCTGCTCTAACAACTAGCTAGGGCTAACTGAAGGTTGACCAGGGTTTCTGCAGTGTTCAACAGATTTAATGTGAGACTTTTAAAGACCTTTTTAATGAAATTTAACAATCATACCGGTCAAAGATAGGTGGGAAACCGGTAGGAACAAAAAGGCCTACAATTATCTATTTAGGTGGAAATAGACAACTCCTCTGCTTTAACTTGACATTATGAAGGAAATGTTGATTGCACAGTATTAAGGATATAAAATAATCCCACCATCCGTGTTTTCTCCCTATGAGCCTTGCTTCCATTATGCAATTCTGTCTGCTGCTGGGTACAATATTTCCTGGGAAAATGAAGGCTTGATGTACAGCACTTATTGTAGACTAAATAAGTAACCAACCCTTAGATATTACTCCTCCTCCCCGCTGTAGTTACTTGTTTGTGTGAAGCAATAATGTTACTCAAACTATGTTATTACTAAGAAATGCACATCATTACAGCTTTTGTCTGTTCCCAAATTCAATATAAAATTGTAACATTTCCTCTTTAGTAAACATGCTCTCTCTTATTTCCAAAGTGGTATTTATTCACAAAGCCGAAAGTTGAAAAGTTGTCTGTTTTTACTTTAAGCGCATGTATTTATTGACATTTATATAATTTTTTGTCGGTACTTCCCAATAATTAATAAAATCAATCAATCAAGGTGACCTGGATACGTGACATAAAATGGATGGATTGATTGATTGACCAATTAACTTGCCCATTAAAGACAGTACTTGTAGTTTATAGATGTTTTTGTTCAAGTCACAAGAACATTTTACTATTTTTAGGGAATGAAGTCCTCATCAAACATTAAGGCAGTGAACATCTGCTGCCACTTGGGGTCACTGCAACATTTATAAAGGCGTCCTGGATCATTAACAATAACAGCAGCACTGACTGAACGCTGTATTTCCGTACAAGTAGTCTGACTATTGAATCCTGAGCCAAACCAGGAGGACCGACCAGTTGGACGGAGAGTTTGAAGGTTTCAGAGGTAGTCATCCTCACTGGACGGCTCGTCCTCATCCAAGTTGTAGCTATAGTTGTAATAGTTGCTGGGGCCCTCGCCGGGGTCGTCGCTGCTGGTAGCCGAACTCTCCCCGGTGAGCTTCGACCCTTCTGAGCTAGCAGAAGGACTGCGGCTCATCCTCCACAGCTGGTAGGCAAAGGTCCGCCCCCAGCTGCAGGGCTGGCCAATCGGGCGCAAGAGCCGGATGAGCTCAGTGGCCTCCTGCCAGTAAGAAGTTCACTTGCTGTTGCCCCGCCCGGAGCGCTGCTTGTTCATGGTGGTCAGCATCTGACTGATGTAAGAGGTCAGCAGGTCGTCCATCTTGTAGCCCTGCAGGTATAATGGACACACATACACACACACTCTTTCGTTATTATAGTTCCATTTACAACAACAGTTTACAACATAAATGTGTTTCAGATTTGTGCGGTATTTTACTTGATAAGTCATGGTAAGGTTTGTACTTTTCAATATTCACCACTCTGTTGGTTTCTCTTCTCTAATAGAAATACTCGTCTCATAAATATTAAATTTCACTTACTTCCACATTTTCTTGATGTTGTTGCACTGATGAAATTGTTGCTGTGATCATACTGAATTTCTCATGTGAGCCATTGTAGCAGACAACAGGTATTCATTCATGCAGGCTGCGCACCGTACTGTAAATACGAGAGTGTGTGCGTGTGTGTGTGTGTGTGTGTGTGTGTGTGTGTGTGTGTGTTACTGCCACCCACCAGCGAAGTCTCACACAGCAGTTTGCTTCCTCTAACCAGGTTGCCGATGGTGATGTGGAAGTAGGTGTTCCCACTGCTCCAGTTGGAGATCTTGGTGAAGGGGTGGGTGGTCAGGATGTCCTGCCCAAATACACAGAGAGGGGGTAAGTCTCAGAGGTCTCTGACTGACTGACCCTACAAGGCCCCTACAAGGAACTTTCATGTTGTGTTGATTCTGACGGCCCTTGTGGTCAAATGGTGTAGTGTTTCCACCACCTTGTTTCATTGATTTCAATGGGAATTCAACCCGTTGACAGACATTAAAGAATAACTATATAGAAATAGAAATCTTCTCACTGATGCTCTTGTTTGTTTGTGTAGATCATATAGAAGCATCAGTATTAAATTGAGACTGTTTCATAACCAGTTAGTACGTTTAAACAGTAAATGTATGTAGCATCAAGGGGAAAAGACAAACACAGCACAGGTAACTGCAGGTGAATGTTTACCATGTGCACATCAAACAAGTCCAAATCAAGCATTAAAATAAATCCTTTAACATCAGACAGAAAAATAAATATCTCTATACAAACACAAACCTTCGTCTTTGGGTCGATCAAGCTGACTCCATGCTTGTTGATGGCGATCAGCAGGATCTCTGGGAAGTTGGGCTCTGTGGTTTGCTGAAGACAAAAGACATCCAAATATTCATTGATCATCTATCAAAAATAATAATAATAATAGAAAAACAGCATTGATTGATTTTATTTCTCCTGAATACTGCCTAAAGAAAAATCAGCAAGCTCTAAACAACACAATATAAGGACCATTAATAAGTACACAACTGGAGATTTGTGTGATTTTATCAGTCCCCTGTGGAGATTAAAGTGTAAAGCAGCAGGGTGGTGACGTGCATCACAGGTGCATTGTTCCATTTAATAAAATGGATGTCAAAAACGCTTGTCTGTGTGGATTTCCCATGAGACACGAGAAAAAGATGCGTGTGAAACAATTCAGCAGGACCCAGTAGGGCAGACTGGAAGTGACAGGCTTGGGTGTGTTTACCTTGACCTCGAAGAAGGCGGAGCCAAAGGTTGGCCATTTGTAGATGATCTTCAGAAATATCAGTTTGGCCTCTTCCCTTGATTTACCAGCCTGCTTGTTGAAGTACGCAACCACTGACTGTAATCAGACAGAAATTGTGTTTAGAATTGTCACCTCCAACTCCAGCTGATTGTGTGTCCCAGTTAAACTTTCATTCATCATATCAACTTCTGAATAAACACCTTCAGTATTTCATGCAAGTAACTTGTGGAAAATAATGTGTGACAATGTCAGCAGGCTACAGTTTTTTCAATGCATAAATACATATTTAATCAACATTTGATATCTTCTACTGCTATGAATATATTTATTTGTACACTGAGCATCTTTGGCACAAATTTCATTCAGGATGAATTTATTTTAATTACACATTATTATTATTATTATTTTCTGGTTGTAACTAGAGGTTGTGAACATTGATTACGCTGCCACACAAAACTGTTTCTGTCTCTTCAACCTACTGAGCTTACCAGGATCTTTTCAGGTTTGTTTTTGAGTTATTTATAATTTAAGTAACTTTAAAAAGTTGAACACGTAACATAAGTTCACTAAGAGGTCTGAAAGGATTCCAATTAAAGTATTTGATTCTACTCAGTTTGGAAAGGATGCATTCGTGAAGCGCAATTTATGTTAGTGTCTTTTGTTTGGTCCCTTATGTTTTAAAATTCTTCAGTCATCTCTAGTTAGCTCAGTTTGCCCCTGTGTCTGATGCCTATTATATTCTAATGTTTAAAAACAGAGATGCATTTATGTTTCTTAATATTGTTTTTTGTTGTAAATGTTGTTTCCTTACTACAATTTCTTGTAAAAATGTATCTACAATATTATTTTAGTAAGACCTAAGATCATTTTTATATACATCTTAAGAAAACAATATTTAGAATTTGACTCCTGATACAGTGAGGTAAAGGAAAAAGTTCAATATCATAGGACCACAGAAAAGACAATTGTCTTTCTGTTGCAGGTTTACCCTTTTCCAGTCATCTGGTGACATCTGACGAATGAGATCCTGAGGAACCAGCTCCCGAAGCATCTTGGGAATTGTAGGAAAGTGGGATTTGTCATCCTCAAACTTGACGCGGTAGATGAGCGCTGCAAGCTGGAAAACCTCTTCTCGTGAACACTTATGGTAGCCACGCAAGTACTTAGGCAGCTCCTGATTAAAAGAAGAGAACGAGGGAGAAGAAGTGTTGCCATTACACACACAAAGGTGCAAATAGAGTATAAATCATATATAAAGCAGAATCATTTCAACATTGTTGGAAGCAAATTGATAAAGATAGAAGTAGCAGTTAAAATTGTGTGAATTTAAAATAAACTAAAACCTTGGATGAGTGTGTGTCAGGTAGAACAAAGTGTTAGTGCCTGAAACCTTATAGGTAAAACTATTTTCTCCTGTTTCTTATTATAAATGCCATAAGATGGACCTGGTAGTAGTGAAAGATGGAGTCGGCGAAGGAGTCCTTCCCTGGAACCGTGTTGGTCCACAGCTTCTTCATGAAGAACACCTGATAGGTCAGAGAGGGAATGATTCCTGCAAGCCGGGAGGGAAGAAGGTGAAATATTAGTTTTATTCAAGTGCAGCTTTGTGACAGCCTCCTTCATAAAAGTCATGATATTTCAGAAATCGCAAATTGCATTTGAGCTATTTATAAATAACAAAAATAATAATGACATTATAACCTTTATGAAGGGAGGATTTATTACAGGACTGGTGTATTAGACAGCATTGGTTTAGCTTGGTGTACCTAATAAACTGTCAACAGAGTGTATAAGTGAGTAAGTCATTACAGATGTGTTGTTCCTCTTTTAACATAACTGTTAGTTTCTTTAGTGCAGCTGTAGTTTAATGTGAATATAACTGCACAACTTCCTTTAAACGCCAAGGAGAGAACATCCATATTCTCACAATTATCAAACAGGTTTCTAAGTCCATTGTGTGTATGTGTCTCTCATTAGGTTATTTGTCTAATTTGTCTAAACTGATGCAGGTACCAACCGTCTTTAGCTGGTCGAGATTTCTTGATCCAGTCCGTCAAATGTCTGACAAAGTCAAAGAAGAAGTCTCCCTCTGGCACACTGATCACCTGCAGAACGACACACACACACACACAGTCAGACATATCAACTTGAAATCTTCCTGTTGAAAACTAAAATTTTCCTAAATTAATGAAACAAAACCGAGATATCCACTCATGAGTGGATTGAAGAGATGATACTGGTTTAAGGAAGGTAAAATAACCTAAATCCTCCTCCTCCTGTCATTCTGATATCCCAGCTGGGACGAGCCTGCTGTAAAAGCAGTGACAGATTTTGAACATTTGATTCTGCTTCTGAGAAACAACCCTTGACCTCTGACCTTGTCTGAGATCTTGACGAAGAGGCTGAAGCCTTCAGGAGATTTGAGCAGCAGTCTGGTTGAGATGTTCTGGCAGAATTCCTTCGCTTTGGTGCTGGACTCCACCTCGAACGCCTTCAGGTTTGAGACACAAACAAGTTTCAAGCGACACTCTCTCGTCTACAAGTGGACCTTTATATACCGGCATGTGTTCCATACCTCGTCTGTGTCGTCAGGGAAGTAGACCTTGTGGAAGATCTGGGTTGTCTTATGTTGGATGGCCTCCACTTCCACCAAATGAGGAGGATACTTCCTGGATCCATTACTGTCACCATGACAACAAAGAGAAAGGTCAGTCCAAGTGTGTGTCAGAGAAAATAAGCTTTGTTTAAAATAGGTTTATAGTTGTTTTGTCTGAAACAAGTCACTGACTAACTGTTGTTGAGCTTCCCGATTTTCTAAAGTTTCCAAGGTCTGTTTTTATTTCACTTTTTTTCATAATGCCAGTTTTCATTACAAAGTCTGTCAGTTATGTGATTGTCTGTCTGCTCATTCAGACCAAAGCATTATTCAATTGCATAACCGGCTCTCCTCTGTGTGCCAAAGACAAAGACTCTGTGATGGAAACTGGCATTATGAAATAAAATGCTCTCTTTGGACAATCAGTATTGTAATAAAAAAAAAGAAAACACCTTGGAAAATGGAATAATTTGATGAAATTACATAATCATTTATTGATAAGCGTTTTCAATATTCACTAAGTTGTTTCAGTTTTATGGTTATACCTCTGTATTTATTTATTCATATTTTTCATCAGGAGAGGTTCCTTATTCAATACATTTTGTTTCCTGCATTCATTCGACAGTAAAGAAGGTGACAGGAAATTAGGGATGATGTGCAACAGAGATTGCTGGCCAGACTCAAACCTGTGATGTTGAATTTTATGAAGAGCTATTTAAAACTCTGAGACATCAACATGTCACTCTGTAAACTAATTAGCAGTGCTATTTGTTTAGATTATGTCTCCCTGCTGGCTCAACTGGTAATCAAATACTCAAATTGGTCACCAGTGGCCAAACTTGTTGTGATGACCCAGTTTATACAATTATACAATGTGCAGGTGATAAACTGAGATTTAAGATGACCACAGAGAAACTTCCCCCCTACAGCAGATTAACTTAAACATCCTACAATGATAATAATAATACAATGCTAATTATTTATTAAACAGGTAACAGGCTCATGTGAACCAACTCTCATTAACCTGAAGTTCTCAATAACAAGAACAAGTTTTACCGTAGAGCTTTGTGCAGCCTCTGCATGCAGTCTCCAGAGAGCGGATGGTGTTTCTTGGACTGGAGGAAGCGCTGGATGTGCGGCAACAGTACGTTACTGGGAGGAAACAGACCAGTACACAACCACAGCAGCTCCCAGCCTTTCTCCTCACTGTACCTGCACAAGCACAAAAAACTCATGTTCAGCTCCTGCATATAAAAATCTGCTCTGTCTGAATGATTAAGATCTTCATCAGCCTGTGTGTTAGCTCCCTCTGCAAAGACCATTATGACTGCAATTTAAGACCTTTTTCACATCCATATTGGCAACAAAAAGTACAAAGAAAATAAGTATTGGTTCCATGTCAGTTTCATTTTGTAGTTGTTACAGGATGATAAATACACTTTTTATTTTTTTAGTTATTTTTTGACCTTTTATTGCCTTTATTGGATAGTGATAGCCGAAGACAGACAGGGGCAGAGAGAGTGGGGATGACACGCAGATCAGGGCCGCAGGTCAGATTCGAACCCTGGGCCGCTGCAGCAACTCCATATATGGGTCGCCAGCTCTACCGACTGAGCTAACCGGGCGCACATACACATTTACATTTACATTTACAAAAGCAAGACTGAAAATTGTATATAATTATAAAAAAAATGTGTTTGTTATGTTTGTTATGTAAATGTTGTTATGTTACATAATACCTTAGTAGTTTTGAAATACAAATGAGTACCAAGCTATTCTCAGTGCAGTGATCAGAGCAATCGTTAGTTTACACACTTGACGTGGTTGTCAGTGAGCTGTTTGATGATCTGACAGTAGATCTCATCTTTCAGAGGTTCGGCCTTCAGCGCTCCTTCAAAGATCTGGTCTGTCAACTCGTTGACTGAGCGCGTCCTTTTGGATGGGTAGTCACCCATGTACTTCATCATAGGTGGGACAAACGTCAAGGAATAAAAAAACTTGATTAGTTTGAATGCAAATGTATAATGTACATGAATATCTGGATATGACACAAAGAGTTCAATTCTGAAATTTCCGTGCTCCTCGAAACAAAGCTGCAGCCGAACCTTTAAGATTATAGATTAAAACAAAAGATTGAACTACTTATGTTGCTGTTTTTTATACTCACGTTTGAATAGGTTCAATTTAAAACACTATGAAGACCATGAATGCAATTTAAGCTACCTATTTTACATCCATACTGGCAAAAACTTTATACAAGTAACATTAATTTAATTAATCCAGTTCATTTTTAAAGCCTTTAAATCCTAATCTCAGATTATTGGATTTTACTTGAACTGGTAAATGCAGAGTAAACCGAGTCAGTTTGTTAACCAGCTTTATAAATAAATGTCTTTATATTAAGACAGTTGGTCTTAAACTGCATCACATCAGCTGTTTAAAGGATATCTATGAAGGACATGCAGGCATCCTGAGCCAGTTCCTCGTGGTTGACGACCTTCTTCAGCAGCGGCAGCTTGAGAGGCTCTCTGGTGCAGCTCCACATCTTGTCCTTCCCACGATTCTTGGTGACCATCACCCTGCTCAGGGTGTGTTTGGGAGGAGGCCTGGAAGGAGTGACATGTTGACATGTTGATTAAAACTGAATTTGCAATCTAAGATGATGCCACGTGGTAAGGTCAATGACATTGGAATTGGAACAAATGAATGTATTTTTATTGTTTTTTTATTTGCTGTGTCACAAGGAAAAACACAGTACACAAACGGAGTAAAAGCACACACATAGTGGCTAGGGATGTAACAATACAATGAACAAAAATTATATTTTCTATATATATTATAATATAATATTTTCTTTATCAAATTATAGCGTTAGGGTTAGGCATAAACTCTGCAAAACAATTAATATTTCATTTTCTTTGTAAAAGTGAAGCTGATGTCTTTGTGCCTTGAAGTGACGTAAGACATTGAACAAGCAAAGTCAAAAGTAGATAGTGCTCTCTGCTGTTTAAAAAGAGTATCAGGATTAATTTCTCATCCCACTGATTTAAATCTTAAATTTAGTTTACACAGAAGAATAATCTAAAACATTAAGAAAGTGAAGTGCTACATTACTGTGCTTTTGTGTATGTGAGCGTGTGTGTACCTGCGTGCTTTGTGTTTGTAAGAATGTGTACCTACCTGTGTATATGGTATATTATTGTGTGTACCTGAAGTAGTCATAGGAGAACTCCTCCAGTGTGTAGGGTTTCATCTTGCCGTCACTCTCTGGCATGACGAGCTGCGAAACACGAACCGACTCCTGGCGCTGATCTGGTGTCATGGTTACCAGCGCCTGATTGGTTAGATTACTGTACATTAGATTACACTGCATTCATTTTACAGATATTTTTGGCTTTTTGCTCTTCCTTAGGAGAACAGAGTAAGTGGTTCTGAAACTGCTGAACTTCTGGTTAAATTACATTTTACTTTTACTATTTTTAAAATACTTTTAGAATTAAAAACCCTTAAAAGAAGTTTCAGCAGCTGTGACAGTCACACACTGTGAGTTCTGCCAATAACATGAAACAAGTTCCTCTCCATTAGAAGAGGAGTAAGTCAGCGCTGGGAAGATGAGTCTCCTGAGAAAGTTCATGTCATTAAAGCTTTTTTAACTCACTACTATTTCTTGCGGAGGTCGGGTCATGGTGGGCAGGACGTAGACACAGTCAGCTGGGAAATCTCCTCTCTGATTGGTTCGTTCGTTGATGCCGTGTGCCCAACCAGAGTTGAGGACCTGCTCGCCGGAGTCCTGGTCCAGCAGGATCAGGTCTCCCTTCAGGAAGCTCAGGAACGTTGACTCCTCCCCGGCTGTGGAAGGACGAGTTGTACTGTGCTGAGATGATTACTGCCATTTCTACTTACTGCTCGTATTTAAAGTACAGAATATGATCTCTCCAATGTATAATGTACTCAAACAGGTGTTACACACTGTTTCAGGTGAACAACATTGTGTTGCAGTGTTTCTGCAAATGTTTTGAGTCCATTTAGGGCCAAAACTATCAAAATACTCCTCAAGTTAGTCATCTCCTTCCCCGCTTTTGAGGAAACAAAACCACCAGAAAATAAAAGAATAATGTTTCCATCACTGTTCAGGACTTACTGGGGTTGGGGTTGTCCTGCAGCGCGACCACAAACTTCGACCTCTTCCTCAGACCTTCCAGGAAGGTCACCACCAGGTCGCGGATGTCCTCTGCGTTGTTGGAGGTAAAAGTGTATTCTTCTCCTTTGATGGTCGCCAAAGTGAAACTTTGACTCTGCAACTTCCCTCCCCTGAAAGAATAACAAGTCTTTTAAATTAAAAACAACAAAATCTCCAGAACGTCACATATAAGCATTTTCTGATTTGATGTCCTTCAGCAGGACGTGTCGTTTTGTAAGTTCCCCCCAAAAACTGTTACAAAAATAAAAGTTAGTTAGGGAAAGATCATGATTTGGGTTAAAATAACTACTTGGTTTCCTTTAACCATGACGTTGAAGGCTCTTTAACCTTAACCAACGTAACCAATTTGTTTTTTGAAAGAAGAGACAAAGGGGAGGATGTGCTAAGAAAGGCAGGTTGAAATGTAAAAGTAAAATATTAAAAAAGTGCAGAAATGGAAACACATACCATAGAGACAGAAATGTAGGAGGAGGCAGAAAGTAGATGAAGGAGGAGGTAAATAAAGAACAGGGAGAGATACCAAAGGAGGACTGTTAACTGTTAAGGAACTAAAGCTCCCAGAATGCCTCACCGGCTGCTGGAAACTGCAGTGATTTCTGGGAAGGAGAGCTCTAAGAGGACCTGCTCCTGTTCATCCACAAAATAAACCCCAGTCCAGTTGACGGCAACGATCAGGTCGTTTTTAGGCAGACTGGGACCTGAGAGGAAGAGAGGAACAGAACAAAGTTTTACACCTGATCTGCTTCAGTACAGATTATAGATCTGTTCTATACATCAGCATCGCAGACTGTAACTTGTAGAAATAACATAAATAGACAGGTACATTTGGTTTATTACAGTGAGAGCAAAAAATAATCTACAGTCTAGTTAGTTTGTGAAAAACCACAGGTACAGAAAGTCTGACGTGATATTAAAAGACTGATAACATAGACTTTACAGCTGTTTTCATTATTTTTCCTGAATGAGATTCACTTGGAACAGAAAATAATAAGAAAAGAACAGATGAAAATAAGAAAAATCTTTAGGTTCTTGAAGAAATAATACACAAAGCTGCAAAGCATTTCTCTTAATGATTCAGATTCTACATACATCATTTTATGATTAAATATGAATAATCATGTCATTCCTGCTTCCACAAGTAGTTTTTAGTTTTTGTTGCGTTATTTTTTCTTTCTTGCCTTTATGGTCGACTGAGCCACACACGTATACATGATATAATGATGATGATCATGTTTTATATGTGAGATGACTTCAATGTATTAACCCAATACCTGGCTAATTAAATGTACAATTAAAGTAATTAATACAAATCCAAATGATTCTTTTTGTTATGTTTTGGATGATCGGATATTGATCGGTACATCCTCCCTGCCTTTTATCACATGTTCAGATGTAAGAGAGATTGTAGATGCTCACCTGAGAACTTAAAGGCTTCGTAGAAACGAGAGAAGAGCAGAGGCCACTTGTGGCGAGCAAAGTCCACCACTTCCTCTTTCACCTTCTGAGGGTCAAACCTCTTCTGGCTGTAGATACCCTGAGCAGAACAGAGAGACGGTTTTTACCTATTTTGGTGGGTGTCAAAGAGGAAATTAAGCCCTACTTTGAGGGTGTCTTTTGGGTTGGGCAGATGTTTTTTTTTACATACAGTCACATGCTATATTGCCAAAATATATGCAAATTGATTTATATGCTCCAATATGAAAGCAAACTCAACCAAGAATCACATTCCCTGTGGCTCATCAAAAACTGTTCACAGAATATTAAAATACCATCAGGGTTCAGAGCAAGACTGATGGATTGATTGCTTAGTGTTAATGTTGGGAAGTTGACAGATTTTGACCCAGTGACGAGCACCTTTTTGTGTGCAGCCATGATGAAATGAGTCCATTTCTCCACCGACCGGGAGCTGCTGATCTCCCTGTCGGGGATGTAGGAGGGGATGAGGCTCAGCAGGCGCTCCAGAAGGATTTCTGAACCGTAGTCGACATAATACTGCTGAGAGGCCAGTTCTGCCAGGTCATCCTGGGGACACGGAGAGACAGATACTGGTAACAGAAACATGTAGAGGCAAGTAGTATCTATTGTACCTGAACACCATGTTGTTTTATCCTACATTCAAGGGCTAAGATTGAATCTTTGGACAGAGACAGGCAGGCTGTTTCCCCGTTTATAGTCTGTGCGCTAAGCTAACTGGCTGCTGGCTCCAGCTTCATACTTTGCACACAGACATGATCAATCTATCTAACTTTCTACAAGAAAGCAAATAAGCAGATTCCCAAAATATCAAACTGTTTGTTTAAAATAAAGAACAAAACAAAGAGAGACGCACCCTGTCACAGCGGTATTCTCCGAACTTGACTCCCCTGACGGTTTGTTGGTAGATGAGGTTGGTAGCAACCTGGTCGTCAGCGGGGCAGTGCCAGGGCGTGAAGATCTCCTTCCTGAAGAACAGTCTCCAGGGGGCGTTCCTCTCCTGGGCTCCCTGCTCCTTCGCATACTGCTCACACTGCGACACGGCGTCCATCACATGGTCGTTCCCACTGCCTAAAGAGGAGACCTGCAGGAGGAGAAGATACATTTAACACTTCGGGACACTTTGTCGGGTCCCCACTTCCTCAGGTTGTTTGAGTCTTTGTTTTAGGGTTAAAGATTCCTTCCAGCCTTGTTATAAGTACTTAAAAGTAAGTATTCAATTCAATTATTTAGTTCAAAACTCTTTATGGTCCAGTGTATAATATTTAGTGGCATCTAGTGGTGAGATTGCAAATTGCAACCAACTAAACACTCCTCGCTTCACCCTCCCCTTCCAAGCACAAACCGTTCTGGGCTACTGTAGAGACATGGCGGTTCAACATGGCGGACTCGTTTAAGAGGAACCCTCTGTAGATAAAAACAACTCATTCTAAGGTAACAGAAACGCAACGATTCTCATTTACAGGTGATTTTACACTAGTGGAAACATAACTATGAATATTATATTCCATTTCTGCCAATAGATCCTTCTAAATGTTGCACACTGGACCTTTGAATCAAAATCTCTTTACCTTGTCAAACAGTGCGATGTACAGTGAGAATCCGAAGCGGTCCCGCAGGTTGATTTTGTCGGACAAGGCGCTGCAGAGCTCCTTGGCTGTGGTTGCCGAGTCTGTCAGCAGTGTTTTGGTTGTGCCGTCCATAAACGTCACCGGTAGCATGATGGGCTTCTTCGACTTGGTGGCCTGGATAAAGATTTAAATGTGTGTTTCTTTCATCTATAGAATTATTTTTAAGGTTCCTCTCATCATTTACAAAACAACGCTCTCGACTACCTCAGGGACATAAGAACACATTTTTCACTGTATGAGCCCTTTCCCACAGTGGTGTCATTTATTTTCAGCTAATTGTATTAAGTCTAGTGTCATACAGAGTAACCTACCAACAGTCAAGTTTCAAACAAAATACGCACCTAGGTTTACGTAAGAGATCTGAGTGAAGCTAAAATAAAAAAAATTTTAAGGCCAACTGATTATTTTCAGGATATCATTTAAATCAGGTGTTTGCATGACTGGAAAACTAGTCTCTACATTTTCAGATATTTTACAGTTTTCTTAGGAAATGTGTGGAATTTTAAAAGTGTGTGTGTTGTACCTGCAGCTCTACAGGACGGGAGGGTTGTGTTTCTGGTCCCGTATGACAAAAGTTCGTCTCAGTCTCTCTATCACAGTACGAGCGTAACCCGGCGGCACCTGCTGATGATGAAGTCCTCAGTACTGAAAGTGAGCAAACAAACAAACAAAAAAGTCCACATATACTTTTGGATACAAACAAGGTGTGCATTCCTGCGGCAGGATCAAGAGAGCATCATCACAAAAAAGTAATTTACTAACAAGTGACATATAATTGGTACATAGTGTAAATTCTGGTTGTATGCAAATCTAGCTTTCTCACAGAAAAACAAAACTGCTCACTTAAATTCAGTCTGCTTTATAAAACAAACAAGCAAACCAACCATCCTTTTAGGATAACCACCATTAATTTAAATGATGAGTATGTAATTTCAGACTTCTTCCTTCTGTGTATTTAAATTGAAAAGATCATGAAAATCAAAGAAAGTCTGGTCGTTCTGACCTTCACAAACTTGTCTGATGGAGCGAAGCAGCCGACACACAGAGAGATGAGGATCCAGCCCCGAGCGTGAGAACTCTTAGACGGGTTCTGACTCAGCTGCTTACAGATCTGACAGTAGATCTCATCCCTAACACACAAACACACCAAGTTACACACAGCTGACTCAGGCTTTAAAATCATTTCTAGGCTCATTTGGGAACATAGAAATATCTAAATAAATACGTTTTTCTTTGCTGTTTGTTTCTTTTCTAATAACAGCAAATATATTATTTTTGTTTCATAAATCCATGAATCAAATGAAAGCTATAAAATATACCTTGATGTATTGATACATACAATGAATGTATGTGATATTTATTTAAGATTAGGAAACTATCATGACCCCCTGTGTGTGTGTGTGTGCACGTGTGTGTGTGTGTACCTCAGTGCTGGCCTCAGGATCCCATTGCCGATGATGAAGTGAAGTTTCTCCAGGTTGGATGTTGGCCGGTCCTCCAGCATGCTGTTGCCATGGAGACTGTACTCACCATCGTTAAGGCGCTTGGTGACCTGAAATGCATCACACTGTAACTTTTCTAGTTCTGCAACGTCATCAGAAAGTAAGTCAGTTTTTATATTCCCCCTTTGTCTCTCTTACCTCCTCAGTGATCTTGGATTTCTTCTTCAGGGTGAGGGACACCAGTTTGTGTCGGACACTGTTCTTCTTGTGGCTGTCAGAGTGCGGCGTCTGTAGACAGGACAAGACAGGAAACAGATTATAGACCAGTCAGAGATGCTCCTGCTCACGGCATACACCATACATACCAACTGCCAATAACAGCAGGAAACTTCATAAATCATATCTCTCCCACCTGTCCTCTTCCTTACCTCCCCCTCCCCCTGCAGCGCCTGCAGCTCTCTCTTGTACGTCTTCTTTCCCAGCGTCTCATAGATTTTGGTCATGACAGGGATCTTCTCGCTTCCATCACTGATGGCCGTGTGGTACTTGGGCTCCGGCAGATCTCCCATGAACCTCAGCACTGTGATCCACACCGCCAGGGCAGCCTGGGCCAGGACAATCAATGACAACCAAAAAACTTTTAATGCTGACTTTCCAGCCAAATATGAGCAACTTTCAGAGAAACAAAAAAAGTCTTGGGGGTCGTGGAGGTCAGAGGTCAAAGGTAACCTACCAGCTGGTCTCCCTCATCGTCGTGGAACAGCAGAGGCTGTTTGAGAGGCCGTCGGACGTATGTGTGTGTTGTGGTGCCCTGGAAATAGGTGGCGGCAAACTTGGCGAACTTATACTCTGATAAATCTTCCTCTTCATCGTCCTCAGGCAAAGGAAGAGCCCCGTCCAGATCCTCCTCCATCAGCTCCTGATGGGTCCGCTCCAGGTCCTGCAGAGGAGGCCAGGACAATCAATTTCATACTTTTTATATATATATATATACACATTTTATTATATTTATATATATATTTTTTTTAAATAGTGTTTTTTGTGTATTTAGTGTAGAAAGGAAGAAATAGTAGATTTTATCTCATACAGTAAGAAAACCTTTAGTCAGCTCACCTCAAAGCCGGTGGGGGCTTGTCCTTCCTGGCCTGGGAAAGAGGCCGTTGTCCCCAGGAAGCCGAACATCTTGTCCACCATGTCGGAGTCGTTAACGGGCTCCAAACGGGCCTTCTCCATCTGCTCCACCATCTCCTTCTTCCTCCGAGCCTCCTCCTTCTCCTTCTTCTCCCGCTCGGCATCCTCTTTGGCCAGCTGAGCCAGACGCTCCTGGAAGAGAAAAATATTCGCTTTGAAACGCTGGTGTAATGATGAAATAATATATAATATGAAATAATAATGACTTGTTCCACACTGCCACCTCTTTGGGTTCCATAATGAAAATACAGATATGCTGTTTCATACCTAGCCTGGATTCTTGTAAACGTAAGACAGGAGGAATATTCTCTAAAAGAAACTCGAGATCTTCCTAACTTGAATAAGTTTTCAAGAATTTCAGAATTTTCAGATGATACATATGCTGAGGTTTTAAATACATCTTTTTATCCCACCTGGTGTTTGCGTTCAGCCTCGGCCTTCGCTTTCTTCGCAGACATCTGATTCCTCAGTTTGGTCTCTTCCGCCAGCCGCATCTTCTCTGCCTCCAGCCGCCGGTTGTACTGAAGGGGGAGAGGAAGGAGTCCAACAACCGGTTACCAAAACAACTCACACAGTGGGCTGTTTGTCTTGTTAATGTCTATATGTCTTATATTATATATATTATATTATATTATAGGATTATTGCTATGTAAACATGTAAAAAAAGCATTTTAATGTCATCATGTCAATAATTTGAATTAGCATCTGCTCTGTGTTAACTGTATCTGTCTCTATCAAACAAACTATAATTAGATAAATACAGCTATAAGTACAACATCGCCTACCTCTCCCTTCAGCCTCTTGTACAGCCGGCGGGCGATCATGCCTCTGGTGTAGGCCTGGATGGTGATGACGGCCCACAGCCGGTGTCTGAACGCCCGGCGTACCAAGAAGCCCCGACAGCGACCCTGGAAGCCTGTGATTCGCTGACGGGCCACGTGATAAGACGCACACAACTTCCTGGAACGAACCAGAGCCTGGAGGCGAGAGAAGCCTGCTCGCATCTGAAGAAGAAGAAGAAACATTTGCTTTCAACCTTTTCTTCTAATAATGAATTACTTACGGATCACAACCATGCTGATATAATGACTCTGACCTGAACGCTCAACTGTACTTTTGTTTACACTTTTATATAATTTGATTTGTTGTGTATGTGTGCGATGTGGGTGTAAAAACACAGGGATGCTCCTCACAGCTCCATAGTTCTTCCTGCATTGATATCCTCTCCACGTCTTCTGGATAAACACAGCCGACTTCCTCATCTTCAGGAAGTTAGATCTGATGAAGGAAATAAAAAGTCAGAAATTACTTTGTGTGTTTCAGTTTTGTTGAATTTTCAACTGGCATAACATTTAACCACCAAGAGAGAAAACTGCATTGCTCTTTAAGATCCGATTTTAGAGATTAAGACACTGAAATCTGGTTTTCAAGGCCTACCTGTCCTTGAATCCTCGAACCACCTTCTGGATGAGGATGACCTTGTCTGTGATGGCCTTGTCTCTCTCAATCTCCAGCAACATGTCGTGGTGATCCTATGCAGCAGGAGAGAGAACTAAGAAATAACAAACTGGCATGGCCATTTTCAAAAGGATCCCTTGACCAAGATATCTGAAGAAAAATGGGTTCTCCCCCACTTTATTCCAATCGAATGCAGTTTTGGGCAAAAACCATGCAGTATTTTGCATGTGGTATAAATATGTTATTTTTTTCCTAGTTTATTTCAATATTTCTGCATTCTGGGGTCCATAAACAGTATTGGA